TAGTTAGGATTTCATACTCAAACTACCCCTCCACTCTCCACCGCTCGAAAACTAAGGCCTGGCTATTTCTCATCAAAATTCATTAAGGAACTTTCTTACTGATTCAAAAACTGAAAGTTAGTGACAAAGCGGCTCTGACATAAATCGAATACACTTAATACACGTGAACGCATAATATACAGAAACATAAGCCACTAGGAGTTATATTTAACGCTCTCTTCAATACGTATAGTGTCCTCTAAGAAACGAAAACTGCAATAAAAGGCCAGTGTAATTTAAGAAAACGATAATTTCTTGTATTTTAGCATTTGTCCCCAGACGAACAAGCTTCTCAAGAAGGAGCCTCAAATGAGAGCAGTTCCGTGATACCCCCTAGAAAAAAGTCTCCGCGTAGCAAGTCCTCGTACGACCCGTTTCTTTTGGTCCCTTGCCGGAAATTCCCCTCTCCGAGTGCGGTGCCTTTTGATGTTCTTATCCAATCAGAGACCTTGGTGGTAATAGACACGCATGCGCATATATCAACTACTGAGGTGATTGGTCTATTAGGCGGAACCTACTCATATGGGTCAAGGAAATTAAAGGTACTTAATTTGCTACAAAACAGCTCTCTTACTGTGAAGGGTTGTTGGATAGTTATTGTGTAATTTTTGTTGTGGAGATACCCCCTATAATACAAGTCGTTGTGCAATGCGATGCGGAATATAATCATCTTTTATGGGTGGATTGAGGGTTAAACGCTAACACTAAGGATTATTGCTTAACACGATAAAACATCAACCCAACTGTTCACAACGTGTAACACCGAAATACCCGTGTTTATTATTCATGTAGTATCCCCTAGCTGTCAATCACGAGCATGTCCAAAACCGGAAGCGGATGCACATTTTCTGGTTCAGTGTTTAGTTGTTGTTTACAGTTTTGTTCTGTCCTTTAAAACTGTTACAGTAGTTTATAAATTACCTGTGACCGATCGACTCCTTTGATCGACTCAGTGAAAAACGTTATGAGCATAGTCTGTTCGTTATGTTGTATTTTTATGCTGCAACGAGGAAGTACTAATTTTTAAGGCTGTTGATGAATACTGCAAGGAATCTTGTGTGGTTCCCTCTTGAAATATTTTACTATATTAGGGAGCTCGAGCAATGACGTTTGTGAGTGACGCACGTCAACCGGAAGTGAGGCTCGTGAGTTTGAACCAAACCACTTCCCAATGATGCAAAAAGTTCACTTCCGGTTAACGTCCGTCGCTTAAAAACGCTGTTGTATAAGCTCCCTATAGTTATGATATTTTGTCGCAGGTTTCCAAGGCGATCCCTTGTAGGAGCTTAAGCACTGGTCTTCAATGTGAAATGGACCCTGTGTCGCAAACCCAGGCCTCTGAGGACTTGGCGCATCAAGGACTGGCGGTGGTGGGCTGGTACCACTCGCATCCTACATTCGCTCCCATACCCTCTGTCCGTGATATTGAAACGCAAGCAAAATTTCAGGTAAGAAACGGTGCACTGGTACCAGAGGGACCCTACCCAGATGAAGCTTTCCCAGCTACTAAAGAGCGGGTACTCTCCCGGGCCGCTAAAGCTAGAACCGCCTAGATTCCCACAAGAGTCCGTGGTGTCAGGTGTCAATTGCCGGATCAGAATGACTTAACCGGGAAGTGACCTTTTTTTTGGTGGTCAGGGAAAATTCAGGGACTATTTTCTGTTTTATTGAGTGGCAAACCTGATTGTATATATATCTAGCCGGATTTTTGCAGAAGATTACTCCTAAATACACCTTCCGTCAAAATAGCCTTTTTTCGGCCAAAAAACTATCTCCAAGGTAGCCATCATAAAAACTAAGAGTGCAACCATTGCTTTTTTTCTCTTCTCCTCCTTTCTTCCTCCTCGCTGTTTCTTTTTCTCTTTTTTTTATTTCGCTGGTGTGATTTTTGAGCTTATCAGGCGCAAAAAACCTGCCGTTTGGCCGTTTTTCACTCAAATGGCTGCAAGTCTCGTTAATGGGTTGGTTTTTTAAAAAATCGACTAGATATTTATTGTAGAACGTATTCATTTTGTACAGTGAAACCTCGTTATAGCGAACAAATTATGCCAGTCCCTTGTCCCTTCGTTGTATCGAGGTTGTTTCCCATATATTTTTCTACTACTTGGGTAAAGAAAATCGTTCGTTTTACCGAGGGCTTCGTTATACAGAGATTCTTTATATCGAGGTTCCACTGAAAAGCAAACAAATAATGCCAGTCCCTTGTCCCTTCGTTGTATCGAGGTTCCACTGTATTTTGTTTTCTGTAAAAGGAATGGTTTGGAAAGGGAGGAGCACCGTTTGTTGGCATCATTGTCAGTCCCTACAATTACAGTAACCCATCCAGCCAATCACAGATCAGATGCCTGACAGTTAGCGACGAATGGGAATCTGCTGGCCAGTACAGATTACCTTACCAGTTTGATTACGAAGTTTATGAAGTCGAGGCTGATGAAGATGAGACGGTAGAGCAAGTGAAAGGGATAGCTGACGACTACCGAACATATCCATTGTAAGAAATTACATGAAATCTCTGAAAGTAAGAGGGGAGGGTTGGAGAAAGAGGTGCCGTTTGCCTTCTTTCACTAAGAGATAGACTGTTTAAACTAGCCTATTTCTCGAAGATCTTCGAGATCGTTTCCTATTGTAACGGGCGGCTATCTTGGTTTCGTATGTAACGAGGGCGCAGACGTCGAGGTGTTGTATTGGTGAGTGAATGGAGGCTTTTTTTGTCGCTTCCACCCAACCCATCCCCCGCCCCCTAGATAGATTTGATACTCTTGAAACCAAGATGCCCTCCCTTTACAATAAGCTCTTGATCTCGACGATCTTACAAAAAANCAGATTACCTTACCAGTTTGATTACGAAGTTTATGAAGTCGAGGCTGATGAAGATGAGACGGTAGAGCAAGTGAAAGGGATAGCTGACGACTACCGAACATATCCATTGTAAGAAATTACATGAAATCTCTGAAAGTAAGAGGGGAGGGTTGGAGAAAGAGGTGCCGTTTGCCTTCTTTCACTAAGAGATAGACTGTTTAAACTAGCCTATTTCTCGAAGATCTTCGAGATCGTTTCCTATTGTAACGGGCGGCTATCTTGGTTTCGTATGTAACGAGGGCGCAGACGTCGAGGTGTTGTATTGGTGAGTGAATGGAGGCTTTTTTTGTCGCTTCCACCCAACCCATCCCCCGCCCCCTAGATAGATTTGATACTCTTGAAACCAAGATGCCCTCCCTTTACAATAAGCTCTTGATCTCGACGATCTTACAAAAAAATTGGGGACTGTAAAACAGTCTACCTAACTGGAATTGTGGTCGTTTTGCTTAAAGCTCGAACATCAATTCGTCCGACGGCGTTTCGCCCGGACTTAAGTCGAATTGCCGAGTGACAGACAACAATCTGTAACGCGGTGAACATACTTATCGGAGACGGTATTTTAGTTTACCTTGGATTCCACATGTGCGGTCACTGTCTTTCCACGCTTATTCTTTTTTTCGAGGTTAAAGAACGACAAATACGTATCGGACGAATGGACTTACGTCCGGGCGATCTGCCGTCAGGCGAATCAACTTTCGGGCGAAATGACATAGCACCACCTGACATAAGGGTTGTTTGGACTACAAAAAGACAGGCCATTTTTAGGCTGCTTGTGAGAGTGGGTCAATGTTGAGTCAAATTGCTGTTAGTGAGAGTACCACAGTACTCATCTTCTGGAGGTCAATCAAAATTTGTCAAACATTTTACGTTCTCCTTATTTATTTTTTCCGTACAGTCGTGTTCAGCTGAACAGAAGATTTGGTTCCTCTTCGGACTTCAACCTCTTGGACAAACTTTTGGAGTCACTGCGGGCTCGAGTTACTAGCGATTCCAGCGGTAACAGAGAAGCGTTCGTAAATAGAATAAAGGATGGAATCGCTGAAAACATCAAACCTCAGCCAGCTATTCAGCAATGTGAAACTATCGTAGAGAGTTTTCAGCAGGACTAAATTGCAGCATCAGACACCAGAAACTAGTGTTCGTTCTAAACTAGAAGCATATAAAACTTAATTGTGTTATAGTTGTTGTCGTTTTTGTGTGTTCTCTTTCCTCGAGTGTCTGAATAAACGAGCTTTAGTTTGGCACTTTTAAGGGTAAGAATTTTTATAGTGCTGTGATTCGCAAAACAATTATTACTTTAAAATGACATTTCTGTACAAAGAAATAATTATACCCTGAGGTGCCTACGGTCGAGAAATTCTCAATTGTTCAGAGTTAGTGCAAAACTATTTATTTGGATGTACATAATTATACAATAGAAGATTATTTATCGAAGATATCTCTAAAGGTGAATAAAATGCAAGGGTGAGTGTAAAACACGAGTACGTTTTTCTCTGGCAGTAGCTATAGTAGTTACAATCCCACCATTCCAAAACTTTGAAGCTCCCTAATTTTGTATTTTGTCTTGTCTGGTCTTGTCAAGCTCAGGTGCTTTAAAACTCTTCAAGGTCGTGGGGGGCACGACTTATGGCTTTGTGATTTTTTTTACATTTTTCGAGGGCTATAGACGTAATTAGTTATGTTATCTGTAATAACACCAAAGAAAATTTCTTATGAGAGCCCGAGAAAATAAATGTCAAATGTCACAAACTGGCATCTTACGTACCAATTAAATCTGTGTTTTCACAATTCTTGTCCTTGTCTAGTCTTTGGTGTTATTGCAGATAACTTGTTTTATCTATAGCCCTTGAAAAATGAAAAAAAAAACGATATTGTTGAAATTATTCTGGTACAAGCTTTTTGTCCACTGAAAATTGAAATTACTCAATTTCCTGATGGATTCCGTCTTAAAATTGTTGTGTACGATATGTTTTCCCACTTTCTCCCTTCTTCTTTGAACGGGATAACCTGGGAACCAGAACACGTGTGTTCTATTTTGGTGTCAGCGGTATATAAATGAGAAGATATGGAACACGAGATCAGAAGGTACAAAATCGGAAAAAATGCCGGTCGGAAATTGCTCCCAGTCGGGACAGAAATGGCCAGAAAATGTTGGAATTTTAGCGATGGAAGTGTATTTTCCATACACTTACGTAAATCAGGAGAAATTGGAAGGGTTTGATGGAGTAAGTAAAGGAAAATATACGATTGGATTAGGTCAGCGTAACATGGGATTCTGTGGCGATCGTGAGGACATCAATTCTTTGTCTCTTACCGTTGTGCACAAGCTCATGGAAAGAAATTCGATCAGTCCCAACGATATCGGCAGGCTTGAAGTTGGGACGGAGACCTTGATCGACAAGTCGAAGTCCGTGAAAAGTGTTCTGATGCAACTTTTTGAAAAAAGTGGAAATTCGAGCATCGAAGGAGTTGACACGACCAATGCATGTTATGGAGGTACACAGGCCCTTTTCAACGCCGTATCTTGGATTGAAAGCAGTGCCTGGGATGGTGAGTTTCATACTTAGTTTGCGATGTGTTAATAAAGGAGTTTTTGACCGGCGATCATGGGCACGAACATGTGAAAAAAATCACCTGTTCTACAGCAGTTGATCATGTGCTTCAAACTTGGGCCTTTCTTCGCATGGCTTTTCTGCTGCATACATTGTATTCTCAGATTTAATCCCTTCTGCATGTTGAAGCCATTTCTCAGGAGTACCCAAAAGTAAACCTAAAGTCTGCAAAGCTTTCACTGAAAATGGGACAACGTTCTCCTTGACTGACGAATTTTAGATCCATAATTTGACTTTTTTTAGAGGCCCATACTGTACAGATTCAAAACCCAGGTTTTGNGTTTGATGGAGTAAGTAAAGGAAAATATACGATTGGATTAGGTCAGCGTAACATGGGATTCTGTGGCGATCGTGAGGACATCAATTCTTTGTCTCTTACCGTTGTGCACAAGCTCATGGAAAGAAATTCGATCAGTCCCAACGATATCGGCAGGCTTGAAGTTGGGACGGAGACCTTGATCGACAAGTCGAAGTCCGTGAAAAGTGTTCTGATGCAACTTTTTGAAAAAAGTGGAAATTCGAGCATCGAAGGAGTTGACACGACCAATGCATGTTATGGAGGTACACAGGCCCTTTTCAACGCCGTATCTTGGATTGAAAGCAGTGCCTGGGATGGTGAGTTTCATACTTAGTTTGCGATGTGTTAATAAAGGAGTTTTTGACCGGCGATCATGGGCACGAACATGTGAAAAAAATCACCTGTTCTACAGCAGTTGATCATGTGCTTCAAACTTGGGCCTTTCTTCGCATGGCTTTTCTGCTGCATACATTGTATTCTCAGATTTAATCCCTTCTGCATGTTGAAGCCATTTCTCAGGAGTACCCAAAAGTAAACCTAAAGTCTGCAAAGCTTTCACTGAAAATGGGACAACGTTCTCCTTGACTGACGAATTTTAGATCCATAATTTGACTTTTTTTAGAGGCCCATACTGTACAGATTCAAAACCCAGGTTTTGATTAGTGATCCCTATATCAGATGATATTAACATAGTTTGGTCTTTCACTCCTTTCCAAAATGTGTGCCAGTGTGGTGCCCTTAAAATTGGCTGCAGTTTTCTCTACATTTACTTTTGTAGAAGGAAAGGTCTATTAAAATTATTTTAAATAATATAAAAATGGAAGAACTAAATTTGACACCGACCAGATTGATTGACTAGTGGCTGATAAGACAGGGTTTATTTGCAGGTCGTCTGGCAATTGTTGTTGCTGCTGATATTGCTGTTTATGCTGCCGGAAGTGCCCGTAGTACGGGTGGGGCTGGAGCAGTGGCAATGCTGGTGGGGCCAGATGCACCCCTTGTTATGGAACGAGGTAAGGATGTCTTCTCACAAACAAGTAACTTGAAAGTGTTATAGTTCAATTTTGCCTTTGGTGGAATCTCAACTAATGGCTAAGTTTTAATTGTTTATTTTGCTTAAAACATTCTTGTTCCCAGAGCTGCTAACCTTTTCCCCAGCACCATGGATCGAGAGCTTTGCTGGCTAGTGCCAAACAGTGAGTCTGTGTTTTTTTTTTTTGTGCCAACTCAGAATTTTGAAATGATAACTGTCATGAACAGTTAAAAACAAGGCAGCTACCTGTATTACGCTTGAGCTTTATCCTGGAACCAGTCAGAACTCTCAATCCTTGGCCCTGGCCAGAATGATGGCAGCTGGATGAGAATGAGTTCAAAAGAGGACAAGTTCATGACATATTCTTATCCCTCATTTCATGGTGAGACTCCAAATACTATTTGGGAATTCACTGTTCTTTTTTTCAAGATAGAACTAATCTTCACTGATGCTTTTTAGGAATGAGATCAATACATATGGAACATGCCTATGATTTCTACAAACCAAACATGTCTTCTGAATACCCAGTGGTTGATGGAAAGCTCTCTGTACGCTGCTACTTTCATGCGTTAGATCAATGTTACAAGAAGTACACCGACAAAGGGAAGACACTTCACCAAAAGACACAGTTCACTCTTGATGACATAGATTATGCCATATTTCACACTCCCTTCTGTAGGATAGTACAGAAATCATTAGCTCGGTTAATGTTTCATGATTTTCTATGCAGTACAGAAAGCAGTAATTCTGAATCAGAAGGAGATAGATATGCAGGTCTATTACAATTCAGGTATGTGTGTGTTTACTTATAAATACTTAATGAAATGGCAACTGTTTAATATTTGCCAGGAGAGAATATATCAAAAATTTGTTTTGTGGTGTCAAGTAAAAATAAGAGCCAATTTTGTGATCTGTGTTAAGTGGTCTTGAGGAAAGCCATAGTTTTTTTGTTAGGTAGCATTTATGGTCTTTCAAAACGTAGGGATAACATTTACATGACATATTATTTACCTTATTTCCTCGAATAAGTGTCTATGCTCTAATAAACACCCTCNGATAGTACAGAAATCATTAGCTCGGTTAATGTTTCATGATTTTCTATGCAGTACAGAAAGCAGTAATTCTGAATCAGAAGGAGATAGATATGCAGGTCTATTACAATTCAGGTATGTGTGTGTTTACTTATAAATACTTAATGAAATGGCAACTGTTTAATATTTGCCAGGAGAGAATATATCAAAAATTTGTTTTGTGGTGTCAAGTAAAAATAAGAGCCAATTTTGTGATCTGTGTTAAGTGGTCTTGAGGAAAGCCATAGTTTTTTTGTTAGGTAGCATTTATGGTCTTTCAAAACGTAGGGATAACATTTACATGACATATTATTTACCTTATTTCCTCGAATAAGTGTCTATGCTCTAATAAACACCCTCCCCCAAATAAGCGCCTAGGCCTAAGTATTAAACAAGCCTCCCCCTTGAACAAACGTCCTCCTCCCCTCCCCCATTTCATTCTTTAATAGTAGGGATACAAGGAAAACCTGCTTCTTTTGCCACTTTATTGATAACTGTCTGTAAACTGTATAAATTGGACCAAGTTACACTTGATTACCAACAGGAGGACTCAATAAGCGTCCCCCTTGATTAAGCGCCCTCTTTCCAATAAGCACACATCCATTTAGCGAAAATTTTAGATATGGGCCGGGGCGCTTATTCAAGAAAGTACAGTATCTTCACTTCTCTTTTTAATTAACCCCTTTCCTACTGCCACCATTTCACCATGCCACCAACAGTTTCCCTACAAAAATCTGAGAAACTAGCGCAGAAATTCTTCATTGACTATGTTTCAGTACTCTGACCTGGGTAGTGCTTCTGTTTGGTTGAGGTGACCAAAAATAGCCTGTAAATGCAGACATATTCCCAGTTGTCGCTTCTCATCACCCAGAATGTTAATTTACTTTTCGGGTGCAGAGAAGCAACAACTGCAAATGTACGTTTGCATTCACAAGCTAACCCAAATGTGACTCTCCAAAAATTTGAGCATACAGCACTTACTTTTTCACTTCCCCTTTTATTCTGTTTGAGTAACTGTTGTCATTATGATCAATTTAGTAATTCTCTTGATGATATTCTTTCAACTTAGGAATGTCAAACTTGAAGAAACATTTCAAGATGAGGCTAAAGCCAAAGAAATAGAAAAGGCATCAATGAAATGTAGTCAAACCATGTATGATAAAAAGACGGCACCATCACTATTCCTTTCCCGTGAAGTTGGCAACATGTACACTCCATCACTGTATGGCTGTCTCACCTCACTGCTGTTCAGGTACGACTGACAGTAAACTCTCTCAGCAGACACCTCTGTAAAATGGACACTTTCCTTAAAAGGACACCCAGGGCATTTATCAAAAGTCAGAACTGGCCACCTGGACTCAAATCAGAGTTCATTTTGAAAACAAAATACTTTTCTCTCCTCAAATTTTTCGTTTAAACCAGTCACTTCTGTCCATACCATAGACTGATCACTAGATATCCCTGATAAACAATTTATGGCCAGTTCTCACAAATAGTATTAGTGTCCCCTGAGTTAGTTCCTGCATTTCATTAGTCTTTTTGTTTTACTTTTTCCAAGGCAAAAACCTTTCTCTGTAGACACATGTAGAGTTTGTGTCTGCCTTAGACAGTTTACTATACACTCTTTTTTACATAATTACTGAGATCTTTATAAGCTG